TTCTGGGCTCATTTATATGAGAACTGTCAAGAAGGCGCAGTGTCGAATAGTGCCCTGAGAAAATAGCATACTTGTTTATTCGCAATTTCTTTCTTCAGTCTTCTCAAAATGCAAACGCAATATTATTCGAAAATGATTGATGTAAACATAATTTTTTTCTGTTCATTCATTGCCACGAATGCACTTCCACTGGACAATCACAACACATTTTAAGCTATTCTCCAGCAGGTGTCACTGCGAAGAAGTGCCCATTCCCATCTTTCCATTTTTCGAAACAGAAAAGTGACAGATCAACTGTCACATTTTTGATACTTTGAGAAAACAAAGTGAGAACTATTATAGCATTTTAATATTGCTTGAAATACCCAAACAAAGTTTCAATTTCTTCTTTCTGTTTGTCCAAATTATTTGCCAAAATATATTTTCGAATTGAATGCGAATATGATTAATTAAAAAAACGTCATTAACTCAAATAGGTCCAGTTCAAAAATTTACACAAAGGTCCATTCCACAATAATAATCCAATGGATTTGCAGACTCTATTTTTAAATTTTAATCCAAGGTAAAAACATCATAAACAAACATTTGCCGTCCTCACGCTTTATCACTGAATATTTTAAACAATTAACAGCATTTTTAACTTTATTCACAGCAAGTTCGTTGTCCACAGCTGTTTGTTTGTATTTGCAATACTATTCACACTTCGAATTGATGGTATAATAAGTAAGTCAACCGTTTCCATTATTCACAATAAAATCAACGAATTTATTTGTTTAATGTTTAGATTGGCCATACTGGGCAGTTTTTATGCCAATTTGGATTTGGAAATCAATCGTAGCCTTAGGAGCAGTTTTTGGTACCTTCGTATGGCTAAGACATCCGAATTATCGGTAATTTTAACATGAAACGAATTTATACATCGTACACTTCATATTCTTATATCGTATTCACAGGATTGAAGGTGATTCATACATCCATTACAAGGCCATGTTGATTTCATTCTCACTTCATCTGATTTTGTTGATGTTCGAACTGCTCGCATGTGACCGCTTAACTTCCCATCGGCCCTTGTGGGTCATTGTATTTTTTCCACTTGTAAGTGTAATTTTAAGTGTTTGACATGGATTATTGTGTATAAACGGTTCTGGAAAATCAGAATATGCAAATTGAAAAAAAAAACATAAGTAAAACCCTGTATTCAACTATTTCTAATGCATACTATTTCGTGGGTTTTGGCAATTTTGTCAATACATCGCACCTGATCGACTATGGCGGATGAAACAAAAAGGTATTTGGAAGCGTCGCCAGTGTTGGTGCTTGTGTTTGGTCCGTGAAACACGATCGATCCTTTGAATTAGAACTTTTCATGGCAGTTAACGCACTACAGTTTGTATTTTTGCCACTGAAGCTGGATGAGTTGGTTACATGGAGCTGGGAAGTAGTATTTGTGCCACTTTGGATTGTCCTTTGTCTAAGTTTAGTTGGTAATTTCAAAGTACAAGTTTATAAAATGCAGTACAGCTCTTTGAGTAGTAGTGGAATAACTGACGATTCCCGAATGCTCTTTCTATATAACGAATGCAATCTATTCATTGAAGTTGTCTGGACGTTTAGGATTTCTGACTGAATGGAATTAATTTTTTTTCGCTTTTTTCCATTAACAAAGGTGTTTTGTACAGTGTGATATTTTGTGGGATATTGTTGCGGACACCAGAAGTTTCGCAATCTCAACGACGTACAGCTATAAACTCTGCGATCGGAAACTCATTAACAGTTATTCCCATTTTGGTGTATCAAGTTTTGCTAGCTGATAAACTAGATGGTGACCTGAAATCTCTTCCATTCACAGTTATATCGGTAATATGAAAAATGGGTGTTTTGTCAAAAAAATTCGTGATAGAGCGTAATAGATCTTAAGTTGCATGAAGAATTCTTACCCTATACCTTTTTTTCTCGCACAGATACCACTGTTCATGGGGCTGTTTGCTTTGATTTTGCTTAGCTTCAACTCGAAAGGAGGGAATAAATGTTTGTGCACAAAATTATTATTTTTATTTTATCTTTTCACTAATTTTCTATCATCTTCCAGGGTGGTTTGGCATTCGGAAAAGCTTTAGTCAGTTTTTATTGAACGCAATGCCATGTCTACAAGGTAGAAGTACCTCTTGTCATAAACGAATACATTGGAATTAATTGATTCTTTTTCTCTAATAGAATATGGAAATATTGGTTATCACAGTACTCGCAATCAAAATGTGCCGCTAGATTCGACAACACAATTGGACGATGTTGAAGCCAATCGTCGTAGTAAATCCAAAGATATTCTAAACAAAAAGTGCGATCAAATGAAACCAGTGGTTCCAATAATCAATATTGACTTGCCCGATTAAGGTGTTTTCGATCTCGAAAAGCACACGCACAAATTGCACATTTTTATTATTATTTGTTCAACACAAGACTCCATTTGACCATATAAAAAAAATCACCCAAATTGTGAATGTACTAACATTATTCAAATTATTATTCAAATTCAATTGGTTTTCTTCGATGTGAATTTTGTAGAAAAGTGTGTTTTTGGTAGTTCGGTTTGTGATAAAAGAAAATAAGCTTAATGTTAATGGGTTGTCGCAGATTTCAGCGTATTTTGCAGAACCAATAAGAGATGATAGTGTCCTCAGGGCACTGTCCTGCAAAGTTAAGGTGACCAACTATTTTCTACTCTTGTACGGATTTTATACGTACACAAGCCAATTTTCTTGCAATATCTCGAAAAAGAAGCGTCTTACGCATGTTTTCCCGCCCTCCGGGTGACCATTTCCATGAAATTTCCCGCCCGATGGAATGAGACTGGTCTCGATTTTCCCTGCTTTTCCATATTCCTTTTATAGCGATTTTCTCATTTTCAAACATTTTTCCAGGATTTTCAATTTTACCGAAAATTTTCAAGAATTCGTTTCTAGTTTATGTTTATACGTCCATAAAATAAAAATGGTTGGAAAATCTTGGAAAACTCGGAAAATATGCAATATTTTCTAAAAATAAAATGTACTGAAAATGATGAAAAGTTGGTTCATGAAGCCATATCCTGGGCACAGTGCTTGTTTACAAAATCTGATCGAGCAGAAAACTTCTTTGAAACTTCCTCTTTCCATATATCTATTGACTAGATCGAGAATAAGTTCATCTGACTTTGTTATGAAAGAGAAGAGTAATTTTCTTTCGACTCAAAAATGGTTAAAGGCGAGTATGTTCATTTTTGGCGGGTCCTCGCGGTTTTCCACGGTTTTCGCGGAACTGATAAGAGATAACAACTTGGTGTCTTCGGCAAAGTTGTAGCACTCGAGGTCTTCTATAACATTGCTGAATTCAGTTATCTCTTATCTCTTATCAGTTCCGCGAAAAGCGCGAAAAATGATAAGAAAAAAAGCTCTAAATAAAATTTGCTTTTTTATGTGCGCGATTTGCGCGCAACTGATAAGAGATAAGAGATAGATGTCTTCAGCAATGTTATAGAAGACCTCAAGTACTACAACTTTGCCGAAGACACCATGTTGTTATCTCTTATCATTTGCGCGAAAACCGTGAAGACCGCAGAGGCTAGACGGTACTACAACATACTCTACTTTAACGCCAACAGAATCATCAGAAAACATACTCTCCTCTTTCAAAATATATTGGAATTTTTTCACATACTCTCCTCTCGATCTAGTCAATAGATATGTAAACAACTTGCGTCCGACACACGAAAAAATGTTACAAGTCAGAATAGTGTCCCGCGAAAATCCGTACGGTTGGTCACCTTATGCAAAGTTGTAGCACTTAATGTGTTCTATGACAGTGCTACAATTAGTTATCTTCTATTCAATATGAATTTTCTCAAGAAAATTTCTTGTGATTTTACACGATTCTTGCGAAACCGATAAGAGATAACAGCACCTTAAGGCCTATAACTTTGTCGATACCAGAAATCAAACCGATATCTCTTATAATTCCTGTGGAAGAAATGAAGAATAAACATACATCCAAAAAATAAACACATTCTTTTCACCATTTTAGTTGCAATGATAGTGATAGGGGAATTATGTGTAGGTTGACCCGCACTAATCATTTTAGTCATAACTTTTTATGGAATAAAGATAAATGCACACTTGATATACCATTGGAAAGAGAGCCGAAAAAGCTACAATTTGATTAGGAAATTCATTAGCTATGGTTGTAAAAACAAAATAGTTCGGTCAATTTTCTAAGAGGTCTGATTTTTGGCAACAAAATTTTTTCTTTGTAAGTTGACCCACCCTATTTTTTTTTAGAAAAACATGCAGTATAAACTCTCAATATATGAAATTCATTGAATTTCGTTGGATTTTCAATCGTTTTTGGTCTTTACAACTACGAAAAACAATGAAAAAATGTAGAAAAATATAGAAATTGTAAAAAAATACATATTCTCTATTTTTTAATATTTCATCGATTTTTTGTGTTTTTCAAGTCCATAAACGATTTGAAATTCATTAAAATTCAATGAATCTCGTATATTGAGTGTTTACGCTGAATATTTGTCTCATTTTTCTGATTTTTTTTCGGGTGGGTAAACTTACAAAATTGGTCGACATTTCAATATGCACGGAAAGAATTTCGCCATGTAACGATATGCGTGAAATGACTTGAGATTATGAAAATACACGAAAAACTAGTGAAGAAAGCTTATACTCGCTTTGCTGACAGAGCCTGTCCGTGCGCTCTTTACGCCCTGGTGCAAAATTGCCAGGGCGCCCTTTTCTTAGGATGAAATGAAATAGACTCAAAATTCTCTCAAATTGTCACTTTCTTGTTAGAAAATTTCTGTACGCTATTGTGTATCGTTCATATTATGAACTTCATGGTGTATTTACAATACACTGTTTCCTGTATGTATGAAAGGCACGAAAAAAAATCCAACGAAATTAGAAAGGTGTTTATTTGCCTTATGTAATACTGAAAATTTGCATTTTTGATTTATTGAAAACATTATACATTACTGCGAGCGCGCGGAAGGCGCGCGAGCCTAAATTTTTTTGTCATTTCAAAAATAAAGCGCTTGAATACACATGTTTACTGAGAATTACATGGAAAAGGGTACGCAAAAAATGAGAATAGCGTTCACCCCAGATTTTTGATCTATTAAAAAGCAGTTCTTTTCGATTTTTAAACGCCGAAAATCGTGAATTTTAGCGGTATTCATGGTATGAGGGGTAGGCGCGTGGTAAACTATACGCTGTACGCAGAAAACACGGTAAGAATTTTGCCATGTCATAATGTATGAAAAACAGAGTATTGAAATCGCTCTGATCTGATTAAAATATGATTCTTTCCCAATTTCAATGCATGGAGAATTGGATTTAATCGGAAATTATATATTTGGGAGTGTAGAAAAGTTAACCTTACGAATGTAAGGCATCTTGTTTTTAACTTGGTAAAAAGCGCTTTAAATACAAGTGGCACTTCAATATATATATAAGCTGATCAAATGCTTTTGGTGCATTCGGCGCTCTCGACGCCTGAATTTTTCTACGTATTTTTGGAAAATTTAAGCAATTGAGAGCCTTCGGCGCTCAAGCGCTCCAATTTTTCTGCCAGTTTGCACAAATTTCAGTACTCGCGCGCCTTCGGCGCC